CGTGACCGTCGGGAAAGCCTCAGTGGGGACGAGGGCTCGCGTGTGCTGAGGACGCACTCCATGGCTGGCCGAGGGCTCACACGTGTGGCGCCTCGAAGCCTGGGGACCGTCGGGCTCGCCGCGTCTGAGCTGCTTGGTTCTGGCGCGCTCGCTCAGCGGCGCAGCGGTCCCGAACTCCGTCCTCACACCCCCGCTGTGTGAGCAGGTCGGGGTCCCCTGTCACCCGGGGGCTGGACGGGCTCCTGCAGGCAGGCGGTGGCCGGTTTCGATGGGGCCCCCAAGGGTTTGCTCTGTGGCCAGGTGTGCTCCGTGCAGTGGACGCAGGTGAGCACGGACGGGGTCACCTCAGGCTTCCACAGGAGGCCTCGCCGCGGCCCTGGCAGGTGGACACACCTCCACTCCCCTTGCGGAGGTGCACGTTCTCCGAGGCTGCTGGGTGGCGTGGGGTCCCCCATCGCTTCCTCGGGAGGTCTCATTCTCTTGGCGACGGTTTGATTCCTTAAGAATGCCCTGGAATATACCCTCAGTGCTGCCTGGCTATGTCCGGATTTCGGGCAGGGCTGACTTGAAATTTTCTTGATTTTATTCAGCTGTTCACAGCCTTCTGCCCCCCCAGGCCGAGGGAGGAGGGGAGAGGCGGCTCTCGGGGAGATAAAGTCCTCGTTGCTTCCGGGCCTTCCATGGCCGGACGGTCCCTGTGCATTAAACAGTCTGCAGACATCTGGTCCCGGCTGTTTTCATCTCTGACGGGAGTCAGGATTAAACCTTGCCCCTCCGCTTTGTGTGGCCCCTGGTGACTGACAGGCCACCCGGACAATGGCACTGTCGTCCCTCCTGAAAGCACCGTTCGGGGCCAGACAATGGCGCGTCTGGCAGCCTCCGCAGCCCAGGCTGCGTGTCAGGGACCCGCCAGGCCGCCCACTGCTCCCTCGGTGCAGATTCCGGGAGAGGGTGTGCCAGAGCCCACGGCTGGGGCGGGAGGCCATCGGAATGAACCTGCCTGTGCGTTCGCTCCAGCGTGCGCCGGGTAGCCCTGGGAGAGCCGGCGGACGCAGAGAGGGGTGGCGGGCGGACAGCGTGGTTGCCTGTGATCCAGGGGCAGGTGGCTCTGCCCGCCTGTCACAGAGGACGGGCCCCACCCGTCTCGGAGCTCCTGGAGTGATGCCGGGGGCCTCTGAGAAGGTGCCAGGCTCTGCGGCTCTCCGCGAGACCCAGGCTCTCACGGCTGGTGGCCTCTGGTCCTGGGATGGGGGTCTGTGGCTCCACCAGCTAGCAGCCTGTCTTGTCTGGCTCGGAAAAAATGCACACAGAGTGTGCTAATCACCAGGGAATAATCGAGGACTTAGGCTGTGTCACGTGGCAGAGGGATGTTGCCCAGCCAGCTGTAACTTTCTCCCAATAGCTTTCTCCAGCGAAGCTGAGCCCTGCACCGAGGTGGCCCCCCTCGGCCCAGGCTGAGTCCCTATGCACAGCACAGGGTGCACCTGGAGCTGGGACTGGGTGTTGCAGGCCTGCCCCGGAGTGCAGTGGACGCACACGCTCCCGGCTCAGCCTCGTGGGCCGAGTGGCTGGCTGGACCCCTGGCAGGACGTGGAGCCTGACCCGGGCGGGGCTTGTCTCAGACGGCCCCCTCTGGCTCTGTGCCTCGGGGGCTTCTTGCAAGCCCTGGGTGGGCCCCTGAGCCTGCGTGTCCCTGGGCCCGAGCAGGGCTCTAGAGCCCCGTGGGCCCTCCCTGGGCACCCGGCTGGGTGACAGGGCCCCAGTCAGAGTCCCCTTCACACAGCACTTCCCTGGGTGGGCCCCTGAGCCTGCATGTCCCTGGGCCCGAGCAGGGCTCTAGAGCCCCGTGGACCCTCCCTGGGCACCCGGCTGGGTGACAGGGCCCCAGTCAGAGTCCCCTTCACACAGCACTTCCCGAGTTCGCCGGGGCAGAGGAGGAAAGGAAACATGGAAACGCGTTCTGTTTCTCTGCCTCTGAGGAGCAAAGGTCCGGAGACCACAGCCCTCTGGGTCCGGGGGAGGGGCGGGGGTGTCCTGCGGAGGGTCTGTGGACTGCACTGAGCCCAGCCGGGTCTCCCCCCACACCCTGTCCTCCCTCCAGCAGCCTGATCCGGAGCTCCCTGAGCCCTGGCCCCCCACTGCCAGCCACTCTCCGCTGCTCCTCCCTCCCCCACCCCGGGGCCCTCTTCTCTCCCAGGTGGCCTACACGGCCCGCCCTGCCTCTGCCCAGCGGGATCTCCGCCTGCTCCGCTCTGCCCGTCCTGTCCCTTTTCCAAGAAGCATCCTGGTTGCCAGGCCAAGCGCCCTGCCAGCTGCCGGGCTCAGGGACGTGTCCACCTGGCTCTCCACCAGACCTGGCCCAGAGGTTGGCATGGAATGCACACGGGTGATCGCTGTGGCATGGAGCACACACGGGTGATCGCTGGACCCTGAGCGCAGCCGTGTCCACGCCAGCCCTGGCACGTGGTGGCCAATAGCAAGATAGATGACTCGTCTCACTTGACCTCGGTCCCCGTCCGCCTGGCCCCAGCCGTGGAGGGGCCTCTCGCCGACAGTGCCGGGTGGGGGCCTCGCCAGCCCCTCCCTGTGCGCAGAGGGAGCCTGCCCAAGGCAGGACTGCAGGCGCCGAGTTTGCTGGCTGTGGGCAGGTGCAGGTTCAGACAGGTTTCAAGTGTCCACTGATCGTCAAAGTGACGTCATTGAGAGACTCAGCGGTGACACTGAGAAGACACCAAGGTCTGCCTTCATGCTGAAAGCTGGCTTGCCTGGTTTCCCTCACCAATAGATATTTTAAAAATCGAGCTTTATATATTTTTGCTTGATATGCGTCTTCCCACCACGGACAGACCATGAGTTACCCCACGGAAGTTGCAAACACGCTTCCTAAAGCAGGCGTCTGGTCCCCGGCTCTGAAACCTGCCCACACCCCACGTCTGACTCCACTCACCCAGGCCAGGGGGATGCGCCCATCGGGGCCTGGCCGCCCCCCGGCCTGGTCCCCTCCCTGGGAAGCCCTCCGTCCCTGGTACCCTCTCATGCAGGTGTGGCAGCCGGGCTGTCCCAGAGGAGCGGGGGGTGGGTCCGATCTCTCGTCCTGAAGCTGGGGGCCGACTCCGTGGCCCGCACTTGCCCTCACGGCCCCGTGTGTCCTGTGTCTCGGCACTTGGGTGTTGCTGTCAGCACAGAACAATTTGTGTTTTCCTGAACTGGCTCTTTAAGATGCGCGTACAAGACATGGCCTTTGTGCGTCTGAGAGGCTGCGTTCGCCTCTCGGTGGAGTTTTGAACTTGGCGGCAGAGCCCGAGTGGCTGCCGCCGGGGTGGGGGGGGCATGGGCTGTGCGTGTGCACGTCGGGGCTCTGATCACCAAGTCAGACGGGCTGTGCAGACCACGTAGTCCGGTGCACAGAGAACAGCGTCCTCCCCGGCTGACACCTGTGCCCTGAGCCTGGGCCGCCCTGTCCAGCCTCCGTGCCTCAGTGGTTACCCAAACAGGAAGGAACCCAGGGCTTTCGCTCTCTGCACACAGAGGGACATTCTTAGCACACAGCAGTCCCCTCAAACTCCGAGAGAGAACGCGGGAGGCGTTCCGAGCACCCTGAGGCTGTGCGCTGGGGCCACCCTCTCTCGCATCCCTTCCCGCGGCTATGAATGATGAAACAAATCCTAGGTGGCTTTTTAAAAATAGCATTTGGGGTATTTTTTTCTCCTTTCAAAAGAGAAAAATCCCTTCTGTGAGTAGGCAAGCCGGAAAAGCCCGGCCTGGCGCTTTCTGCATGAGTGGCCAGGACTTCGCGGGCTGAAAGGAGAGGGGCAGGCCGGCCCTGCGAAGCCTGGGAATGGGGGCGCGGCGGCTCCGGGGCAGGTGTCGGGGCCTCCTGGGCGGCCCCAGGGTCCAGGACGTCTGTCCTCAGGAGCCGCCTGAAGGGGTGAGATAAAGCAGCTCTTGCACGTTCCAGCAGATGCCTTTGGGAGACAGAACCAGGAATTTCCTGCGTCCGGGGTGGCCACAATGGCGTCTGCGCAAAGCTGCTTAAGCCACTTAAGCGCATTAGCATGTGGATGGCCGGACTCCTGGGGCAGGCCGGGCTGCTCCGGCTGTTTGGGTGCATGTCCTAATCCTCAGGCTGCTTGAAGGCCCCAGACTGATTTGTGACACATGAGTCCAAAAGCCACTTTGGGGGGCTTGACCCGACCAGCGACCTGCGCTCTGAATGTCAATGACCTGCCCCGGAGTGTGCTCTGGGGCGGTGGCAGCCACCCCGCCTCCCCAGGCCGCTCTGGGAAGCCCCTGAGGGCTCCTGGGATGGATTGGAGAAGAGTCGTCCTCCCCCACCCGGGTGGGCCTCGCTCCCTCCCTGCCGTGGCCCTTGCGCTTCCCCTGGTGAACGAGGTTGCCACAGCTGTGCTGAGCTTGCAGAGCACGGCCGGGCGCCAGGCTCATGCTGTCTGCGGGGAGGGGCCCCGGCTCTGCCTGACCCCCGCAGCACCGAGGCTAAGACAAGGCCTTCCCTCTCCTCCACCGTCCAGGCTGCTGCCCCTTCCCGCGCTGGCCAGCCCTGCCCCTGCCTCGCCCCACGCCAGCTCCTCCCTCCTGTGCTGTGGCACCCTGGCCCTGCCAGCCAAGCACCCGAGGGGACTGGTTTGGGGGTCACTGCCGGGGGGCGGGAGCGTGCCCCCCCCAGCCCTCCCACCTCTGCGTAGGGGACATGAGCCTGCCCAGCCCCCTCCCGAGGGCGGCTCAGCACAGCTCCAGGTGTGCTGGTTGCTTCCGTGCGGAAGCGGGTTTGTGGTCCGGGAGCCTCTGCAGCTGCACCTAGTGAGTGCCAGGCCTTGCCCAAGGAGCAGGGCAGGCCACGAGAGGGGCAGCTCCTGGCCCAGGTGTGCAAGCCTGGCTGTGAGGCAGCACCAGCCACCGGCCCATCTGGAAACAGGCGTACCGCCTGGTGGGGTGGTGGGGAGATCACTGAGCCGCCCAGGCAGGCAGAGGCTCTCGGGCTGAGTCCCTCTGTGTTTCCCGCAGACACTCTGCACGAAGGCCACCATGCAGACCGTGCGGGCCGCCGACACCAACGAAGTCGTGAAGCTGATATTTCGAGAGTCGGACAACGACCGGAAGGTAAGTGGCCTGCACCCGCCTGTGGGTGACGTGAGCCCACCGGGCTGAGCTGCGGGGGTGCAGCCTCTGCAGACCCCACCGCCCAGCCCTGCAGGTGGGGGGATCAGGGCGGGGTGCCCCTGCCCGGCTCGGGCACTGACACTCTGGCTTGCAGGTCATGCTGCAGCTGGAGAAGAAGCTCTTCAGCTACTTCAACCAGGAGGTTTTCCGAGACAACAACGGCACAGCGGTGAGTTTGTGGTCGGCGGTGGCCCATGGCTCCAGGACCACCCTTCCTGACGCCGCCTCTCAGGGGTCAGCTTTTGAGTCTGGGGGCCACACTGCCCTGCTGCGGACAGCTTGTGGGGTGCGTCCTGCCTCCAGGCTGGGTGGGGCTGTGGCCCTCGCATCCGTGTCCCGTCCGTGGGTGGCGTGACCCTCAGTGGGTCCCTCAGCCCTGGAGACCCTTACGTGTCTAAGGTGGGGCCCTGGGTGGTTTGGGGGCTCCCGAGGTGTGGCTTCTCTCTGAATGGGCAAAAGCCACGTGTGCACTGATGAGAGGCGTGTGTGAGTGTTTCACACCCCGTTGCTGGACTTGCTGTGTGTGGGGCACATGCGTTCACTTGTGCACGCAGATGCTTGTGTGAGTATGCTTGTGAATACACGTGCATGCGTGTGTATATGAGTACAGGTTCACATGTGTACATGGGTACCGTGCATGTGTGTGCATGCATGTACATGAGCGTATATATGAGTACATGTGCGTGTGTGCATGCATGTAGTGAGTGCATGTGGAAACTGAGGTGGGAATATGCGGCTCAGATCAGTCGAGAGCTGGCTCCCTGTCAGGGCAGCGCTGGCTGCAGGACCTGCCCTCTGCTTGGAGCTGCCAGTCCCCCCAAGGGACCACTTGTGGACAAGCATGGCACTGGGAGCCGCCAGGGCAGGGGCGCCATGCAAGCCCCCTGCAGAGCCAGCCCCTTGGAGCCTGGGTGTAAGGCCTCCTGGGAGGCAGGTGGGAGACGGTGGGAGCCCTCGGAGGAGGATGCCAGGGTGTCGAAGGGGACAGTACGTTCCAGAAGGAACGGGGCGGAGGGGGTGCTGCAGTGATCAAGGGAGAAGCATGGGCCTGGGCAGGTCGTGCCGTGGGAGGAGGACGCCAGGGTGTCGAAGGGGACAGTACGTTCCGGGAGGAGTGGGATGGGGCGGTGGGGGGGCTGCAGTGGCCAAGGGACTGGGAAGTCGCCACACGTCCTGAGAGTGACCATCTTCCGTGGGGCCCAGAGTCCTCCTTTCCTTCCCTCGGCGTTTATACGGAGATGCGCGGTTGCCTTTGGAAGTGACGCTCCCCGAGTCTACCTGTGAGGGTGTCTCAGGTCCGCCTGAGATGGAAGAAACTCAGTCTGGACGTTCAGGAGAACTTCGGATTTGATCCTCCGGTAGGAAATGCGGCTGGGCCGAAGCAAAGAGCAGACTCGGGTGCGGTGACCTGGGAGGACCACCTGCCCGTTAGTCACGCCGCCAGGAACCTCACGGCCAGGCGCCCTGTGCCCTGTCCCCTCCTGGGCTGCTCGTGTGGTTTCTCCAAAGGACCAAACAGCATGGCTTTCCTGTCCTCGGTCCCCGAGACACGGCGCCGCAGACACGCTTGCACCCACGCAGCCGCCCGGGAACACACAGTGGAAGAGTCACCTGCCGGGGCAGCGGTGCCGGGACCAGGGCGTCGTCCCCTCAGGGAGGGACGAGACAGCTGGCCTGACGCGCCGTCAGCGATGACCTCACCTTCTCAGTCCGCCTGAACACGCAGCACCACAGCCACGAGGAGCCAGCTCCCGTCCACGGGGGACGCGCCTGCGCCGGCCGCAGCCCCCAAATCCATCGCATCCGTATCCTTCATCAGCCGCCGGTCTTGTACCCGTCTGACAGGAATTTAATTCGAGCTGGCTCCTGAAAATAATTATTGTATTTTAAGAGTAGTAATCATTGGCCGGGACATGATTGAATGTGTCCATGCCTATTGACTTTTTCTATGATTTATAGCTTTGTTTAGTCGATATTCCCATCGAAATTGTATAATTAATTATAAGTGTGGCTGTCAGGGCCGCAGGATGGAGTGGCCTGGCGAGGGTTTGGAGAGATTAAATTTTCCGTGGCTGTCCCAGGGCAGGGCTTGGGAATTTCCGCAGCGCCGGCCGCGCGGAGAGAGATGTTTTCTGTGTGCTTAGCAGCCGCGCCGGCCCGGCGCATCGATTTTCTGGGCTCTTCCCTTTATCAGCACGGTGTCGCCGCGGCGCGGTGGACTCTGCCCGGGGACAGCTCCTGACAGATGCGCACGGCCGGCGCCCTTTGTCACCGCCCGCGCCGGCCCGGCCTTTCCCACTCTGCAGTCGGGGAGCGTGGGGTGCGTGCGAAGCGGCCTCGGCTTGTGGGGAGCTCAGAGGCGGATCACCAGTGCAGCGGAAGCGACGCGCAGCTCCCAGTCAGGAGCCTTGGGGCGGCGGCGGCGGCGTTAGCCCAGTCACGTGTGTGGACATGGCGGGTGAGCGGCAATGCAGGCCCCAGGAACTGTGTCTCCACGGCTGCTGCAGGGGTGAGGGTCCCACCGACCCGTCAGAGCCCGCGTGGCCCTGGCACAGCTTCACGTCTGTCCGCACTAGGTTCTGGTTCCGGTTCTGGTTCTGCCCATGGTCAAGGCTGGTGTGCAGCATGGCCCAGCACACGGAGACGCTTGATGAGTGTTAGTGAGAGCGGGTTTACGCGCCCAGTTCCGGGCGTCTGCGCAGACACGGCAACAAGTGCGCAGCGGGCGGGGTGAGGAGCAGTCTGCCCGGGTCTCCCGAGGGGCGGGGCTGCGCGCACGCGGGCCTGGGGCGTCAGGAAGGACTGAGCGTGGGTGCTCGGTGGGGCCGTCTCTCGGTGCCACCGGCCAGGGGCAGCTGACAGATCACCTCGGTTGTGACGGGAGGCGTGAGCCCACCACGCCGTGTACCGGGGCAGCCTTGCCGGGGCGTGTGGGATGCACACGTGTCGACATTCGCAGGTTCTGCCTGACGTCAGAGCGTTGAGGCAGACTGTGGCCGCTCGGGGCCTGGCCGGGCTGATGGAAACTGGGGAGTGGTCACCAGGTCACAGCGAAAGCCCCACGTCCAGGCACACACAGACTCAGGCACCACACACATTCTGCACACACGTGTGGTACGCAGATCTCACACGTGTGCACACACGTATGCACACAGCACACAGGTGTGGGTCCCCTGGGAGGTGTCCCCAGAGCTGGTGGTGGTGACTTCCAGACTGGCGGCAGCTCCACCGCCGGGTGGCGGGAGCTCGGCGTGGAAGTGAAGGTGACCACACAGTCAGCCTGGCTCATGGCCATGGCCCGGTCAGCGATGTGAAAGCAAAACGAATGTGTGTGTGCACGTGTGGGTTTGCACGCGTGTGTACAGCCAGGCGTGACGTCGCAACGCTTGGGTCAGCACTGACCACACACGTGGCCGAGGTCCCGTAAGATCACAGCAGAGCTGGAAAGCCCTGTCGCCTGCCGTCCTCGACACCGTCCTGGCACGTCGCAGGGCGCCGCTCACGTGTCTGGGGAGCCTGTGTGCACCGGAGCACGCACACGCAGCTACACACAGCACACGGCGCTTGACAGTGATGGCAAACAGCAGCGTCACCGGCTGACACATTAACCCAACTACTTTTCACTGCTGGTCTAGAGTACGCTCCCAGCTCCGTGGTGACAGCTTGGCACGTCCTGCGGGGCTGTGCACGCGTCCCCGTCACCGCTGGGGTGACAGCCCCGGGTGTGTCCTTCGGGGCTGTTGTTGGTGTATGATGTATTTCCACCGCACCTTTTCTGTGCGTGGATGTGTTACATGCATACTCACCACCGTGTCCCACCTGCCTGCGGCTCTCAGTACCCGGGCGCAGGGCTGCACCACACGGCCCGGGCGCAGTGGGCTGTGGCATCCAGCCATGTAGGCGTGCCAGCCATGTAGGCGTGCCTGCGGCGTGGCCCAGGCCAGCAGGGTGAGCGGCTCCCTCTGAGCCACCTGGGACCAGCACCGCCCTCAGGCCTTGCGTGCAGGGCACTGGAAGCCCCAGGTCCCTTGGGGCCAGCTCGAACACCCCACCGGGGACCCAGGAGGGAGGGAGAGACCCCGGCTCCTCAGAGTCCGGGTGGCGTGGGCGAGGGCCTCTCCACCAGGCAGGTGTGCAGAGGGCGGCTGGGGTCCCATCCCCCGGGGCACTGAGCATGCGGAGGCTGCAGCTCTGCTTCTCACCTGCAGTCTGCACCGGGGAGCCCTCGGGAGCACGAGGGCCAGCCCTCTGGGTGCTGGGGCCTCAGTCACAGGCCCTCTGCCCGCCCTCTGCTCTCGAGACCGCGGGCCACGGACTCGCCACGGAGGTTCCCGGGGCCTGTCTCGGGTGTGCCCCTCGGCCGTCCGCGTTCCTGCCGGTGACAGGGACCCATCGAGAATGTCCCGTCCACATGCTCAGGCTCCTCCTCCCCTCCCTGTGGGTCCAGCAGCAGGGAGGGGCGGAGGAGAGACCCCGGATGGTGCCACGAGGAAGCCCTGAGCACCGCTGGGGAGGGACGAGGGGCAGAGTGGACGCAGCTGAGGAAGGGTTGATGAGCTGGATGGCAGGCCCGAGGGAGGCCCGAGCACAGCACACGTGTGCAGAACGTGAGCGGGAGGGTCCTGGTGGGGGACCGGAGCTCAGCACCAAGTGGGAGTTCCCGGGAATCCTGTTTGGGGAGTTAACCGACTGCGTGTTTCCCAGAACCATCACAGACTCTCACGAAACACGGAGTCCTGAGCGGGAGGAATGGAAAGCAACTCACCAGACGCCTCGGAGCAAGGGCAGGCCTCGACACCAAGGCGGCTTTAAAGCAGCAGGAGAAAGACGCCGGGTCACCGGCCGGGAGTGCCGCGGCCACCCAGACCAGGAGGCGGCGGATGGGGCAGCGTGGTCAGAGGGCGGGTGGAAGATGCGCTGACTTGGGATTCTGTGAGCAGCAGCTCGTCCGGAGCACTGGCAGAACACGGACGTCAGCATGGGGACAGGCCGTCACGGACACAGGGTGGCCGTGCTGCCGGAGCAGGGCACCGCGAAGGAGGAGCGAGGTCCTCACGCCAGGCCTCAGCACACGTCGCGTGCGACCAGCTGGTTCCGTGGAACTCGTGGGTCGGTGCGGATGCAGTGACGATAGAGGAGCATCCTCAGGGTCCTTAGACGCCTGAGTCGGGTGTGGGGTCCGTGGTCGGCCTGACAGCGCAGGGTGAGCCCCGCGCCCGCCTGCCCGTGCGCCTGAGATCCGGAACTTGCCGTCGGCACTTGGGAAACCCTGGTCAGCCGTGGCTCCCTCCCCCTCGCGGCTCCCTGCGGATTCTCCCTCGCAGGATTCCCGGAAGGGCCTGGCTCCCAGTCTTACGCAGCCAGCAGCCACGGAGCCCGGCACCCTTCCTGGTCGCGGTGCTCACAGCCGGGTCAGCCCCGGACGAGACACCTGCCCGGTGCACGGCCCCACCGTCGGCACGAGGGCCTGGCGCTGCACGCCGCACTGCCGGGGCCCCGTGCCTGAGAGGCCAGCAGGGCCCACGCTGGGATTCGGGCATGTCTGTCTCTGATGGGGGGTGAGCTGGACGTGATGTGTGTGTAAGTGTAGTGTTCCTACAGGTACATGAACACACACGTGCCTGCAGGTTTGCTCTGGAGCCACGCACACGCTTGGCCCTCGAAGGTGGACTTTCCTGTCCAGGGCGCCCACCCCCCCACACTCGCCGGGGCTGCCGGGGTCGTTCCCGAAGCTCTCCGTGCAGGAGCGCGTCCCTCCTCGGGTGGCGCAGGGGCCTCCCTGTGCAGAGGCAGCAGGGCCACCTGGGGTCACGGAGAGCCGCATGCAGGCCTGGGTGTGGGGCCGCGCGGAGCCGGGGGAAATGGACAGAGCCCTTGGCGCTCCCCCACAGGGCGTGTTCACGTGCAGTACGCGCTCGGGGTGGGGAGGGGGGCTGTCAGCGACTTGGCCGGAGTCCTGGGCTTTGCCGTGTGCGGTGACGCCAGTTAGCTGTGTCTGAAGTGGCCCCGTCCCTCCCGCCCATCGCGGGTGGCCTTGCCAGTGCTGCGAACACAACTTCTGTGAGAGATGCCGGCTGTTTCCCTGCGCCCTGAGCCCTGGTCCGGCCCCAAACGCGGATGCCAGCCGGGCGGGGGCCGCGGTGCAGGTGGCTCGGGCGGCAGCCGCACACGGCAATTACCACATACACGAGGCTGCTAATTGCACGTCTCAGGAATGATGGATGAGGAGGCAGGATCGCACCGGGACGCGAGGAGGTTCTAAGGCGGGCGGCGCCGGCCACACAGCTGTGGGCGGGACGTGACTGACGAGTGGCGTGCAGGGTGTGCGGTGGCCTCTCTCAGGTGGGGCGACACCTCCTCTCTGGGGAGTCCCCAGGGCCCCCTCCCCCGTGGAAACGAGCACTTCCTGCCTGCACTGCCGCTGGCACCAAACCTGCACTCAAAGGTGGGGCAGCGTTTCCTGGTGTGCGCTCTGCCTGCCGTGCGTCCTGCCACGACGTCAAGCCAGCTCCAGGGCGGAGCAGCCACAAGTGCCGCAGGGGGCGGCACCTGCCATCCACGTGCCCGCTGCACGAGAGGGTTCCCAGGTGGGCGGGGCTGGTTGGTGGCGGCGGTGCAGGTCCCGGTGCCACAGCCGAGGCCTGGGCCCAGCGTCGGGGCCCACAGCACTTCCTGGTGGCACGGCGGCGGCGCTGGGGGGCAGGCGCCACTGCAAGCATGTGAGCCGTGCGTGTCTCCCAGCAGGTGTCCCCGCCGCACACGGACCAGAGTATCCCGGCAAGGAAACACAGGGTGACTTTCTTTTCTTTCTCTTTTCTTTAGCTCTTGGAATTCGACAAAGAGTTGTCCGTCTTCAAGGACAGGCTGTATGAACTGGACATCTCGTTCCCTCCCAGGTAAGGGACATGCTGCTGGCCGGACCGGGCAAGCAACGTTTCCACCTTCCTCTCTCAGGTGTGTGCGCCTGTGTGCGTGTGCATCACGCGTGTCTGTGTGCATCGTGTCTGTGCACACATGCGTATGTGTGCCTGCGAGTGTTGTGTGCATTGTGTGCACATGTGCGCGCCTGTGTTCATGGTGTGTCTCTGCGTGTGCATGTGTGTGTACATGCTATGCTGTGTGCAAACTGCACCTTTTTCTACCCTCTCCATGACCTGAAGAAAGCAACTGGCTACAGTAATAGTAATTCTGTGATCTTCTTTTGTTAAAAAAAAGATGTTTTTCCAATATGCAAAATAAGAGCACGTCAGATTTGCACACTGGGGTGCCCAGGGTACAGTCTTGGCTCTTTCCTGCCATGAGGCAGCGTCTCAAGGTGGGGGGGGGTCTTGGCTCCGTTTGTCTTCCTCGCACATGTAAGCCATATTCGTGCTGATGTTTGTGGAACCCTGAAACCTGCAATAGTATCGCTGGGTTCCCGCCTCCTGCCAGCACATGGCCTAAAGAGAGGGAAACGGTTTAACTGCAAGTGGCCCGTGAAGGTGCAGCCAGGCCCAAGCCCGTCGCGCCTCTCAGACCTGCCATCCGTCTGGACGCAGCGCTAGGGGGCTGCTTCCCGCCCACTTGTTCTGTGTGAGGCCCGGCAGTGAGCATACCACAGCCGTGGCTCAGAATGAGTAGCTGTGCGACTCTCAGCTTCTCTGCGGGATCACTCCAGATGCCTGCGCCACGCTCCCGTGGTCAGGCGTGTATAGCTGGGACAGGCCCCGCCCTTCTCTGGACACAGACTTTCTGCAGCTTGGTGGGGGGCTGCAGGCCACACCCCTCTGACCTCAGGGTTCGGGGCTCTGGCTGGGGGTTCAGGAGCTCAGGGCACAGGTCGGAGCCCGGCTGGTGGTGCCGGTGTCAGGGCCCACACACCCGGAGGCGTCTGGGTAAGTGAGGTGATGACGGACAGTGCGCTTAAAGGGGTCAGTCTCCTGCACCTCCCACGTGGGCCCAGCCGGACGGACGGCTTTCCCTGCGGGAAGCAGAGAACAGGGGCAGGAGAGGAGCAGCATTCAAAGCGTGGGGTGCGCTCACACCAGGCCTCGGGCCAGGTCTGCCTCCCACGGGATGGGCCTGGGGCAGCTCCCCACGGCCCCAGCAGGGCAGGAGTAGTGCCCTGACGTGAGACCCCAAGCCTAGACGCCAGACGCACCCGCCGTGGGGTTTAAGGCGCGAGGTCTGCCGTGCCCCGTCAGGTCGGCCGTGCCCCCACGCCCACACCCAGCACTGCTGCTGCGAGGCTCAGCGTCCTTGTCATCAAACGGGAGTGGGGGGGGCGGGGATCCCACCAGCAAGCTGTGTTGGCCATCGTTGGCGGCACTGTCTTCTCGCAGCACCGTGGCCTGTAGCCCCTTGCTCCGCTGCGCCTGCGAGTCTCTGCCTGGCAGCACCGCAGCTTCTGCGCATGGTGGCGGGACTCCCAGCTCCCCCTCAGAGCAGCTCTGGGGCAGCCCCGCCCCCCTGCGCTGGCCACGAACTTCGCAATGCAGACGGCCCGGCCTCCAGCGACCCAGAGATCCACATGCCGTGGCAGCCCAGGGCATCACCGTGGGCAGCTCTCGCCCCACCCCAGCCAGCCGCTGGCTTCACCTCACACTGGGGGCGAGAGCGCCCTCACCACCCCAGCCCGGCGGTGTCGACACAAAACACGCATTGGTGCTGAGTGCACAGGGGCTCTGGGCACTTCCTGTCCCGTCATCTCAGCTGCAGTTCCTGTAGTTTGGAAACAGCACTGGAGCTCAATGGGGCGGAGCTGAGCTGTTCCAAACCAGAGAAGCGCTGGCTGCCAAGGGTTGGGGTCCAGCATGCGACAGAAACCACTGTACCTCCCAGCCCGGCACAGGGGCACCTGCGGCCTGAGCCCCGACTGAGGCTCCTGAGTCTTTGCCCGGCCCCACCTGGATGCACCGAGATGCCCCTCCCCCCTTTGGTTCTGCCGTGTCTTAAAAACCATGTTTGTGGCCAACAAATACAGTTCTCAGCTCCCTTGGGCTGCTGAACTGTTCCAGGGAGTGGGAGTGGGGTGAACAGAGGTGACTGGGAAGGAGCACGGCAGGGATCAGAGGGCGGTTCTGTGGCTTGGTACCTGCCCAGGTGTGTTCTCTGACTGCTGTAGACCAGGTGACCGTGTACAAGTGTGTGTGCGTGCAGGTTGTATATTCGCATGGGCATGAGCCTGTATGCATGGGTGTGCGTGTGCATGGGTATGTGTATAGGGGATTTGTGCTTACATGCATTCGCTCATTTGTGCATGCGTGTGCAGAACGTATGCGAGTGAGTTATGGACTGCTTGTATACGTGTGTGTCCAGTACATGGGTTTACAGGTGTGCAAGCAGTGTATCCACACATCGATGAATGTGTATACGGCCATGTGGATGTGTGCACATGAGTTTGAGTGTGCATATGCACTGCTGCATGGGTGTGTACTTATGGGACTGTGTGGAGGGGTGTGCACATGTATGAGGGTGTGCATTGTGTGTGAGCATTGCAAGAATGTGCCTATGAGTATGTGGTGTGTGCCACACAGGTGTGCGGATGCATGTGTGCATGAGGTGGGTGTGTGTGTGCCTGTTCACGTGTGTGCACGTGTGTTCGTGAGTGGAGCATTGTGCTGTGTGGTGTGTGCATGGGTGCATGTGCAGGGTTTGTGCATGTGGGGTGTGCATTCTGTGAGTGCACACATGAACAGGTATGTGTGTGCACAGGTGTGCATGTGAGCACATGCGTGTGGATGTGGGTGTGTGCACTCTTTGCACAAGTGTGGCACAGAGCAGCCACTCACAGTTAGAAGCAGCTGGAGACCCCAGCCTGCGGATCCCGTTTGCCCCTCTCTTCTCTTGGCCCATGGGTGGGAGCCCAAGAGGACACTGCCTAGGGGAACCTGGTGACACGGGCTTTCCTGTTGCTAGCGGTGACGCTGTGGGCTGAGCCGTGAAATAACGAGTGCTTTGGTGTCCAGGGAAGGTTTTCAGATAAGTTGTCGGGTGGGGAGCCTTCCGGAAGGTCGTGGTGGCTGAGATGTCCTGCTCTGTGCTGCCGCTGGCGTCTCCACGACAGGCATGCTGGTGTCATCCTGTGTGAGGGCAGGTGCCACCCCATGGCCACGTGGGCCTGAGGTTTGACTGCAGGACACGCAGGCCCCCAGAGGCACCTGGCAGACCTGTTGCCCCAGCGCCAAGACGCCGGTCGGTGTGAGTGTGCGGGGCCGCGGGCTGTGCTGTCCAGGGTCGCCCCTGGCTCTGGGCGAAGCGGAGTCCAGACCCCTTCAGACGTGCATCAGGGTGTGGCCCGAGGACTCTGGGTTCCCCTTGCTCGGTCGTGAGGTTGTCCGTTCTCCACTGAAATTCTCACTACGCGATGCAGCTCCTGGTGTCTGTGCTCCCCACGCTCTGGACCCTCCTGGTACTTTGCGGAAGACTGTGAGGACTCCAAGACTGTCGGGGCATCCCTGCCACAGCTGGCGTGCCGAGGGCCCTCGGCTGTCTCTGCAGCAGTGTCCCTGGCAGGGCGGGCCCTGCGCTCTCTTCTCAGGCTGCAGATCCCGGTTTCAGAACTGTCCGTCGTTCAGTGGAGTGAACACGCTGGCCGGCGGCCGGGGTGTCCTGTGGCTGCTGCCCAGCCCCTGCCCTGATGTCACCGCGGAGGAGCTCCCCACTCAGAGTGGCTCCAGGCACGCAGGAGCAGCACTGGGCCCTGCGTCAACTATAAGGAGGTCAAAGTATAAACATGCGGTTGTGCAGCTGCCCTTTCCACTAAAGTGACAGGGTAGTGTCTTCCCAGGGCGTGAAGGGTTCACTAAACCCTGCGTAGCCGAGGGTCAGTGAGGGTGGTTCCTCCTCTGGGCCCCGGGGCCTTCACGCCCGCCCCTCCCTGGGCACAGCCCCTCCGAAGCCAGAGGACACAGCAGGCCACTGGCAGCAGAGACCTGGACCTCCCGCCTGCCACCGCGGCTTTGAGACCAGCGGAGAAGCCTGAGAACCACCCGCCCTCTCTCTGTGTGAACTCTTCGCATGTAAGAGACGACAGCTGTCACGTGTGTTGCGTTTGGTCTCACTTTAAATAACAGCAGAGTGTTTAGGGACAGCCTTGAGTCAGGAAGTGACTGCACCGCTCTGTGACGAGGAGGGGAAGCCATGTCCCACCAAGATGCTGTCCCCGTCGCTAGGGGCGAGTCCTCGGGAGCCCTGGCCCCTGGGGCAGGGCCACTTTCACCCCTCGTAGCTCAAGGACCCCAGGCCTGTTTGTCCTGTGGGCGGTGTCCATTGATAATTGCCTTAGATTTTAAAATAGTAATTCATTTTAAAATGGCAATAACAAACCCACTATGTGTTGACATAAATAACATTTTCATGAAAAAATAACTATTTTCCAAACAAAAGATAATTAGCGAAAAGAGTGGCCGTGGTTCCCACTTTCTGTAAATCGAGTTAGGGTCGGCGTGGCAGAGGACGGCTGGTATGGGCAGCAGGGCCGGCCTCCCGTGGACAGCGGCGCACGTGGGCTCTGCGACTGCCTTCCGTGGTGTGGCCGTGGCCCTCTGCGCGACCTCGAGGAACGGGCTTCTGGGAACTTACTTGCAGTGTGGCATGTGAGACCGCCGGCGCCTTTGCACCTGTTGGGTCTTTGGCCGGCGTGCACGCCTTGGTGGCAGCGTGCGTGGGCCACGGGGTGTGCGGGTGTCTGAGCCTCAGCACACCTCGCTCCGAGAGCCCACGGTGGGACCCCGGCTGACGGGATTGTTCTTGAAAGCTTGAATTTTGACATCAGCTACCAACACTGCCAGTTTTCCCCAAAGAGGCGGCTCCTCTCACCGCTTCTTGGGAGAAGCCAGTTGGCGGCCGCGTCTGAGTGGCGCTGGTCTGTCCGTCGATCTTTCTGGCAAAAAACGCTGGCCTTGAAAACGAGCAGCCGCGCCAGCTGGCGCCCGCAGGGGCGCCTTGATGTTGGCGGAGTCCGGTCTGTGCCCGGCCCCGAGGCCCCGTCTCCCAGGCTCCAGGCTCAGCGAGCGGGTCACGTGGACGCTCCGTTGGGCACTCGTGCGTGGACTGGCCTATCCGGTGCTAAGTGCACGGCGCTGCGGAAGACCGCGCTGACCGGCCGCCGCCTGCTCCCTGCTCAGGCGCATGGAGACAGCAGTGATGCCCCAGCGTGACTGAATGACGCAGCCCCCAGCTGGCAGTTACCAGAGCGCCGCAGACGTGGCGGATGCCGCGCCGAGGTGGAAGGCCACGCAGCGTGAGTCCACTCGTGGGACCAGCCCTCTGACTAGTCGAGGGCCGTGGTGTGCGCGGCCCCGGCCGAGCGCAAAGGAGCGAGTGCCACGCGGTTCCGCCCGTGCGTGGCTCTCTGCGCCCAGCCCCGCCGAGGTTCTGGGATCCCGTCCCTGCCACGCCAGCGTGAGCCACGCCGCCAGCGCCGAGTCCCTCCACGTCATGGTCTCAGTGTAGCCACAGTGTGACTGTTTGGCGTTGTTACCTGGATTTCAGTGTGTTTGACTTTTTCAGGCATTTCATTAGCAGCTGGTGGTTCTGAATCCAGGTCTCTGAGGCCAGGGCTGTTCGCTGTGACTCAGGCCTCACTCGAACTCAGAAATACGCCTCAGTGGCGCCATTATGTGTCAAATCATTTTTCTCTGTGACGTACTGGGTCCTCCTCGGCGCCTGGTGCTGTTGACGGGGCCATGTCACCGACACAAAAGCAGTTTGGGAACCTTTTACCAGGTGAGAGCAGGAGGGGCTTCCCGCCCTGCCGCCCCCGGGAGGGCTGCACTGGGCGGACACCCTCCTCCCCTGCAGAGGACGGCTGGCCAGCGCGGTCGCCGCCTCCTGCCTGTGGAACCCAGCAGCGAGGGGCTCCCAGCCCCGATTCCTCTGGGCCTTCCGAGCCCTGGGTGCCGTGCGTCGGCCCCGCCTGGCGGAGAGAGGCACACGCCCTGCACGACCCGCCCAGCCTGGACCCCTCTGCTTGGAGCTGAGCCCGTACGCAGGGCAGGCGTCCACACAGGAGGCGATTGTTCGCGTTATCGCCGCTGCCTGTAGTTGTGGCTATGGTGCCCGGGCTGTGCAGGGCGGACACGGGGCCCTTGTCCCAGGCCCAGCCCTGGCGGGTTTGCTTTCAGATAAGTCTGTGTGCGCAGCGCTCCCGGGTGATCACCGCCCGGGCCCTGCCGCCCTGGCGCCTGCGGTGGGGCAGCGGCCGTGGCTCCACGCCGACCTGCCCAGGCCCGGTTCTCTCGGGGTGTCCAACCTCGAGCCAGGGCCTGCCATCCACCCTGGCCGGCGCCCTGGGGCCGGTTTTCCCCTGTGCCACCTGTGAACAACCCGCCCCTCCTGGTGCAGGACCAAGGATCCCTCCTTGGTCAAGGAGGTCGCCACACTGGAGGCCCGCCCTCCTCGGCCGCTGCTCGCCGGAGCCCGCCTGGCCTCCAGACCCTGTCCCGTGGATGGGCGTGGCACCTCCACCCTGCCCCACCCTGTGTGGGGCGCAGACCTGTCTGCTCACAGACGTGCTCAGCCCGCCTTTGTGGCCATGCACTGGCACGTCAGCATCTGCGCTGACCTTTGCCCTGGCGCATCCCCAGAGGGACCCTGTGGCATCTGCAGGCAGCCTCGGGTGTGGCCCACAGGCCTGTGGTGGTCACAGCCACATCAGGTAATCGGGCATGGAATGGCCGTTTCCAAAAGCAGGTGGATTTGGTCCTGGCCTTCCAAACTGGCATCTCTGGTTGCTGCTGCTGTGGACGCTGCTCGTGCACTGGCAGCGCGTCTCGCTGGGCTGCGGGCCAGGCCCTCAAGCCGGGACTTCCTCTAAGTGGGAACTACGTGGATCTTGTTCGTAACCACATCTGAGTCTTTAATCAAGTAGAGTAACGGGCGAGCCCAGGCCTGGGTTTCTGTGCAGGGCTGGCCCCTCTGGAGGAGGCACCGGGCAGAGAGCACCTTCTCCCAGCCCCGCATGCTCACTGGTCGAGGTGCACAGACAAGGTGGGGCCTCGGGGCCTTCCAGGCAGGGCCAGGCCTGGGGAGGGGCCAGCCCCGCAGAGGGCAGGAGGCCCAGGAGGCCCCAGAATCCACACCTGCAAGTACCGATGACAGGACCTGCCTGGAAAATCAATAGCATCCTTTTCCAGCTAAAACCAACAGGAAAATTTAACAGAAACCAAGATATCACTCACAACAAATGCTATGCGGTACTTTAGGATTGATCTAAAGGTACACATTAGACTTTTACAAGGAAACTCTTTAGACTCTGTTGAAGGCCGTACGAGGCAGCGTGTCCAGTCTGTGCAACATTGCAAGACTCTGTCTCTATGAAAAAAAAAAAAAGACAGAGTCAGCCGGGCATGGTGGTGCCTGTAGTTCCAGCCACTGAGGAGTGGAGGCAGAAGGATCCCTTGAGCCCAGGAGCTCAAGGCTGCAGTGAGCTGTCATTGCGCCACTGCACTCTAGCCGGGCGACGGAGCGAGATCCTATCTCTATAAATGAATGAATGAATGAATGTCTCCATATATGAAGTGTGAATGGACGGATGGATGGATGGATAAGCAGATACAGCCCACTCAGGGGTGCGAGGTTGGACACAGCTAAGGGCTCTCAGTTGGCTTAAGTTGAATTCATTTATCATCATTTCAGTTTAATCTCAAACAAAATCCCCCTTCGGGGTTGGGTCTGCCACCTTAAACAGGACGCTGGGCAGGCCGGGCCCCTGGAGCAGAGCGAGGCAGGTGGGCGGAGCCCGAGTGCCCAGACAGAGCCTGGTGCCAGTGGTCCCTGCCCCGGGCCTGGCCTTCAGGTTGGCAGCGCCCCGAGCGCCCCTCACTCACGCCGTGGAGGCTGGAGCCCGTCCCCAGAGCCGCAGGGGGTGGGCGGGCCTGGGGCGGAGAGCGCAGCCAGCCAGCCAGGCCCGGGCTGCAGCCCGAGCACCAGCGCCCCTCCCGAGATGAGAGCAGGCGGGCAGGGCAGGGCAGGTGGGGATGCCCACGAGGAGGCGTCCACACCGCCGCACACCGAGGTCACCCGAGTGTAGAGGCACTTCTGGCAGTGGCCGGGCAGAGGGGCCCCGGGGCACCGGCACGTCGCCAGGACGAGGCAGAGGACATCTGAGGCCGTTTTCCCACTGCAGGCTCTCCTTGCACTTTAGACCACGTTCAGAAATAAAAGCTACAAAGAAACAGACAAGCCAAGCTTAACAGACAGCTTCGTTCAGTAAAGGGGGGTGGTTTATTTGGAGATTCTGTGCCAGGAGTGAGATGTAGTTTCACATAAAAATGAGTTTGATATAAGAACTTAAACTGCGGATTTGGCTTCATACCGTAGAAACGTGTGCACGACATTCTTTCCCTGGTGGCTGTGGCCATTCTAGGGGGGGGGGGAGTCCGCAGGGCCCTCCCCTTGGAGCTCTCGGGCGGCGGCAGCCGGGCGGCTGACCCTCCGCCCCTGTCCCCCAGCTACCCGTACAGCGAGGACTCCAGCCGGGCCGCGCAGTACATGAACACCCGGTGCCCCGCCTGGTGCGACCGCATCCTCATGTCCCCGTCCGCCAAGGAGCTGGTGCTGCGGGTAAGTGTGCCGTGGGGAGGGGCGCCGCGCGCCACGTCCTGCCGCCCACTGGGGCCCCCATCCCGGACCTGGCCCCTCCCCGGCCTGAGCTGACCCAGGCGCCATCCTCCTGGGGCCCCGAGGGCAGCCAGCGCCAGCCACGCGGGCGGGGCCTCGCACCTCCGGGCCCCATCCATCATGACACGGCCTGTCGCCCCGTCACTGGGCTCCGTTCCGCCTCCCCAGCCCCAGACGCCAAAGGTGGCTGCGGTGCGGGCGGCTGGCTGCCTGGGCGCCTCGGTGACGAATGCTCAGCAAGGTGCGCCGCGCTGCCTGCGCCCGCGGTAATTTGTTTATCTGTCCAAAGATTATGCAGTTGAACATTCACAATTTTATGCTGCCTTTGTAAATTGCCACGCCACGTTTGATGAATGTCTCCCCACTTGCGCGGAGGCGGCGTCACGCTCCTGGGAGACGGGAAGGAGCTCGTGCGTGCGGCGCGGAGGCTGCGCTTTACGCTTGCTGGCACAGCCGTGCCGGAAAGTAAATCTGACCTTAAGCTTCCCACTGCATTAAAGATAATTCAGTTTTAACTTTATAGTCTCGAATGCTTCGGCTGTGATGTAAAATCCCAGCCCCATCGGAACTGACTGATCTCCAGCAGCAGACCCTGCGTCCTGCCCCGGCCTGCTCGCTCGGGGCTAATTAGCATGCAGAGCCGCCTTCTGTGGCCGCGTGGCGCTCCTCTCCTCGTCCTCCTCTGGGCGGAGCTCTGGGCTCACGGCCCGTGTGCACGGGGAGGTGGGGTAGGTGAGCTGCCGCGTCAGGCCAGGGTCACCCGCCCGCGTCCAGCAGTGCCAGAGCCCGGAGGGGAGAGCCTAGGAGCGGGCCCCGTGCCTCCCACCCTGGCCTGGAAGCAGGGCCCATCTCGGCTGGAGAAGCCGGGGCCACCAGAACCTTCCGACCACGGGCTGGCCGCGCTCTCCCGGGGGCCAGCAGAGCCCCAGGGCAGGGCAGGGCGGGCCGCGGCTTCCGGCGCAGGGACCGACCGTCCCCAACCGCCTCTCTGCCCCCAGGTCCCTGCTGCCACCTCCCAGAGGGACCCCAGTGCCCCCAGCACCCCCACACCGGCCTCTCTCTGTTTCCTTCCCCAGTCGGAGAGCGAGGAGAAGGTCGTGACCTACGACCACATCGGGCCTGACGTCTGCATGGGAGACCACAAGGTGACGTGAGCCACCGCGGCCCGGCCAGGCCAGACGGCCTCTGCGTCTGCCCCTCTGCAGTGGGCCAAGTTGCTCTGTTTGTATTTAACTTTAATAAAATACCAAAGGATAGGCAGGTAGGTAGGTAGGCAGGTAGAAAAAAAGGCAGAAAAGACTATTCACAATAGAACAAAATACATAATTTTACTATCTGTAAAAAAAAACAAAAAACCACGCATCTGCAGCTGATCGTTTCTGAAGGCCGCTTTCCGAGGGAGCGTCCGAAGTATCTCAGGCCACGCGGACCGTCTGCAGCTCGAGGGGCGGGTGCTCGGGGGTCGCAGACGGGGAGGCGCTGGCCCTGCGCGGACACTATCCGGAGAGCAGCCACGGTCTCGCTGAGGGCTGTGCCAGGTGACAGGTCACGTCCCGTTTTCAGCCAAATTAAACCAATTCACTTCCGCCACCTTTGAGGCCCCTGAACCTCGGCCACCGAGCACGTGCCGCCCCGAGGTGACGGCGTCCCCGCCCAGGGCGATGAGCAGGGCGATGAGGCCGAGAGGGCTTCCTGCCGCCGTGCTGGGCTTGTCGAGGGCCATTGAGATCAGTGGCGTGTCTGGAGGTGACGGTCCACACACAAAGGGCTGTCGCCGGCTCGTCACGCCCACGGGCCCAGCCCTGCTCCTGAGCCGCTTGGTGCTCAGTCCGGGGCCGCCCTCGCGGGACGCGGGCTCTCTTGGGGTCGCGGCGCCCTGTCTGCCGGCCGTGCTCACCTCTCCTCTCTTCCCCACGCAGCCCGTGTTCCTGGCCTTCCGCATCACGCCCGGGGCAGGTAAACCTCACGCACATGTGCGCAAGTGTTGTGTCGTGCAGTGACGTGGTAAATATGGCTCCTTCCCTCCACTGCTCCTTTCTGCAGCTTTTCCTGGTGTTTTGTGCCGTTAACAAACGCCCGATTTCGCCGCAGGGAAGAGGTGCCAGCGCCACGAGAGGGCCCTCCGAGAGACCTCCCTGTAGCAGTGACCGAAGTGCGTGCTCTCAACAGCTGCATCGAACCCGCGAGCGCCACCTGCTAGAAGGCCGGCCCCACACTTCGCTTCAGCCTCCGGACCATTCCGGAAAAGCCTCACATACCTCACTGTCTTGTCTGTTCGTGTGACATCAGTAGAAATATTGGGTTTTTAAAATAAGTCACAGTCCTGTTGCCAAAACTCTAATAGACAGCAAGGAGAACCTGTATCTCAGACTCCAGCGCCCAGCTCGTGTGATTGTGGGCTTCTCCGCGGGCCGCGAGGCCCGCAGCCCTGCCCGGCGCGGGTGTGCCCAGGGCTGGGGGGCGGCGCTCCCTGGCAGAGCCGACGCCTCCCTGCGGTATTTTCTCTGTGCCATGCCACATGGTTTTCGAATCACACTGCAGCTGCTTCCCATTTTTATAAATATAAATATATATAAATATATACTTTTTAAAAATAATTTATAAATCTTACCAAAACTTATGCTAAATATCCTTTCCAGTATGAATGCACAAGGGCGTCACGTCGGCAGGTAGAAGCGGCGTCTAGGAGTTGGGCTCTGTCTGTCCACACAGGTGCAGAGCCAGTGTACCTGGCAGGGCCGACTGGCTAGGAGCCGGCCCACAGCACGTCCATGCTAGCGGTCTGTTACTCCTATGCCTTTCTCTGTGTCATACTAAGAACTGAATGTGAAGTTTATAGCTAGCCTGGGTGTACCTTTTAAGAATTTTGTAAACCGTCTGTCTTTTGTTACCGTTTTATGGTGCCAAGTATCCTACATTTAAACAATAATATCATGGGAGAAATAGAAATAGCCTAGTCTGCTTCCAATACAGATTGCTTTTAACATGGGCTGTATATAAAAATATTCAAGAGAAGCAAAACTGTACATTTCCTTAGTTGCTCTGCTACAAACAACCTAAGTAATAACCTTGTTGCAAATATTTTTCTCCTAGCACTAAGTACAGCATTAAAAGGTGATTAGAGAGTCTGTTGAGAAACACAAATGTATGTTTATTGATTTTACTTAGAACACTACAGAGTTCCTGGACTGGGTGAAGGCATCAGATGGATGTTTGTTGTACAGAGGTCACTACCACTGCAGGTGATGTGGTGTCCGCAGGCCGACTCTGCCTGAGGACGCAGTCGGTCTGTGCGGCCCTGCAGCCCCAGCAGGGCGTCTGTCCGGCGGGCGGGCTGGTGGCTGCCGGTCATTCTGAAGGCCTTGGAAGTGTGACCCTCCGGTTCCTAAGCAATAAAACCGATCGTGGTGAAAACAGCGGCCTGTGCTCTCCTTCCTTTCCTTCCTTCCCCTCCGCCTGAAACGCTGAGTCACCCAGGGGCCCCCCCACCTGCCCTTTGACCCAGCATCAGCCTCCTGCAAACCGGGAATGTCGCCACCACACGCGGGCACAAAACATCAGGCCCTCAGTGGGGAGCAGAAAAGTAATCTCTTGGGCTTTTTACAGCAGGAAGGAGTCACCCTGGAGCGTGCAAATCTTTGCTTTCCTCACCTGGAACCGGGGTCCCTCTGCCCTTACCCTGAGCAGAAAACACTCCTCCCCTTTTAAACTTTTCAAAGAAAACTGGCCAGCAATTCAAGAGGCTTTTTAAAAATTAATGGTACAGCAATGTGACAAAAAAAAAAAACAAAAAACAAATTTAAGCCTTTTACATTTCCCTTTAACATTTTCAAAAGTGCTTTCCAAGAGAAACCTTAAAATTGCAGTATTCTAATTATTTACATTTAATTTCCAAAACTAAAACTCAACAGTTATGCCCATTAAGATGCAGCTAAGGGGCTTCCCCTCTGCAGAAGTCGCGATGGGGGTGGGGGGTTCTCGGTGACCAGACGGCTCTTGGGCGCGGGGACTCACCTGGCGGGGCGGCCGCGTCCTTGGGCCGGGTTGCTGCAGAACTGGCCGCAGGGCCGGCGCTAGATCCCTGGTGACCCGTGAGCGCCAGGACCGAGGTTCCTGCCCTGCCTTGTGCGTCCCGCGCTGGGCCCCGCGGCGAACGCTCAGGGCCATCGGGGCGCAGTCCCTCGCAGGCAGGACGATTTTGATTTCTCCCTGCAGTTCTAGTTTGAACGAAATAGTGTTTTCTGCCAGTGGAAAATCCATGGAAACGGTAGCTGAAGGCCCCCGTGCAGAAGAGTTTCAAACCTGATTTCACCCGAAGTGGTTCACCACGTACCTTGGAGACGGCCACTAAGGCACAAGAGTCCCGGGGAAGCGCCTGGGCTGAGCGGGCGCCAGGCTCGGGCGGTTCGCGGGCGGGGCCCTCTGCGAGCCCCCGTGTGCGTCTGAGCCGGCGCCAACCCCGGCGCCCGGCGCGTCCGCGGCTCCGCTCCCGCGGCCCTTACGCGGCCTCGGCACCGGGGCGCGCGGGACCCGGGGCCCAGATGCCGCCGCGCACCGCCCGGCCCGACCACCCCAGACGCAGGCGCCCTCGGCCGGCTGGGGACCCGACCGGGACCGGCAGGGACCCTCCTGCCGCCCTCTCGCAGGTGCCGCGCCGCCAGGGGGGCCTCGCTCCCGGCTCCACACGGAAGAAACACGCGGTGCAGCCTCGGGAGCCGCCGCTCCGACGGGCACGTGTTAAATAATTTATTGATTATACAAAGAGATTCCGCCCGGGACGCGCGGCCGGAACCCTGCGCCCTGAGCCCACCGAGGGACGCCGCCGGGTCCGCGCGCCGAGCCCAAGCCGGCCGCGTATAACTTACTCTGCAAAAATATATGTACACCCCGCGGCCGGCTCTCGTCGGCGCCGCCCGCGCGCACCCCGGTTGCGCTGTCCCCGCGCGGCCTCACAGGGCGTCCCCCGCGCCGCCGCCGCACGGGCTGACCAGCGCCAAGTTCGAGGGTTTGTGCTTCTTGAGCAGCCGCGTGATCTTCTCGTCGTCCGAGTTGGGGTCCAGGGGCCGGTTGTACTCGTCGTCGTCCTCCGCGTCCGAGCCGCCCACCTTCAGCTTCTCGGCGTCCGAGTCCTGCTTCTTCTTGGCCGACGCCATCTCCGCCGCGTGCCGCTTGCGCCACTTGGTCCGGCGGTTCTGGAACCACACCTGGGGGCGGAGGGGACTGTCAGGTGGCGCGCCCGGAACTCCCGGCCCTTCGGCGCCCGGGCTCCACCCGCCGGCCGGCCGCGGGGGTCCCGGCTGCGGAGCGCGCGCGGCTCCGGGGCGGCCGTTCGTTCGCAGGACGCGGGCGCCCGGGCTCTGCTTCCCGAAGCGGGACCCGCGCGAGGACGCCGCGCCCGGCCGCGCTCACCTTGACCTGGCTCTCGGTCATGCCCAGGGAGTAGGCGAGCCGCGCGCGCTCCGGGCCCGCCAGGTACTTGGTCTGCTCGAAAGTCTTCTCCAGCGCGAAGATTTGCTGGCCCGAGAAAGTCGGCCGCGAGTGCTTCTTCTTGCCGTCCTTGTCCAGCCCCGCGCCGGCTTGCGCTGCAAAGGAGGGCGGGTGAGTGCGGCCGCGACCCCGCGCCACCCCGCACCCGCGCGGGTTACTTACCCGGGCCGGCCAGGCGCGGGTCCCTCCAGGGCGAGCCCTGCACCACGCCGGGCCAGAAGATGGGCGGGCGCCCGGGCAGCTCGGCCAGCGGCTTGGGGTAGCCGCGCGCCACGGCGGCCGCGGGCCCGAAGTAGACGCCGGCGGACGAGGCGAGCCCGTTGAGGCGGGGCAGGCCGCCCAGGAGACCGCCGCCCGCCGCGCCCACGGGCCGCCCCAGGATGTCGCTGATGCCGTGCGGGGTGCCGAGCGGCAGCTGCGCGCCCAGGCCGCCCAGCGCGGGCGCCTTGAAGCCGGCGGGGCCCTGCAGCGCGTAGGGGAACAGCGACGTCTTCATCTCGGCCATGTTGTGCAGCGCGGCCAGCGGCGCACTGCCCAGCACGAACGCGCCCGGGCGGTTAGCGTCCATGGCGCCGCCGCGCCGGCCGGCGCCCATCCGGCCCGCGCCTGCGCCGCCGGCCGGGAAGTGCGCGCGCGGCCGGGCGTCGATGCAGGGCGCGGGGCGCGGCCGGGCGACGGCGGCGGGCGGCTGCGGCGCGCTGGCGGCGGCGGGAGGCGGCGCGGCGGCGGCGGCGGCGGCGCGGCGCTCGGGCGGTCGGAGCGCGCGCCGGACGGCGCGCAGATAACGGGGGCCCCTGCGCGGCGCCGCGCTGATTGGCTGCCGGCGCCGGCCGGCCATGTGGACCACCACGCGGCCGCGCGCCCCCGCCGCCGCGCACTCCATGAAGGGCCCATTAGCGCGGCAGGTGCCTCCCGGGCTGTAAATTTGCCCCCTGATTTATCTCCCCGGGGACGAAATAAATCCCCTGGATGGGAGTTTAGTTAGGCAAAGGTTTTAATGGGAAATCAGGAAAAAATACGAGAACATATTTTATCTCCAGAAAGAATGCAGATTTGAGAATCCAGCCTGCGCGCTCGGTGCGCCCCGTTCCGGGACGAGCCCCGCGCGGGTGGAGCGGACACTCGGCCGCGCCGTCGGGGACCGCGGCCCGGACCCGCCCCGCGACTCCTGGGCCCCGGGGCTCGGGCCGGTGTGGGCCGCACGCACGTTTGCCGGACGCTCTCCTGGTGGGTCCCGGCCGCGGCGGGCGGAGGCGCCCAGCTTCGGTGTTCACCGGCGTAAGGGCCAGACCTGGCTCGCAGGAATCGGCTCAAGGTTTCGCCAACGAACGGCCAACTCGGTGGCGGAGCGAGGCTGCGGGGAGCGGGACGGCGAGGCCTGTCCCGGGCCTCAGTCTCGCGCGCACTGCCGGGGCGTCCCCGCCTGGGCTTCCCCGTCGGGGGGTTTCCTTGGGGGTTCGGAAGTAACCCGAACGCACGACCCGCCCACCGGCCGCCTCAGGAATCGCAGAACTGAGCAGTCTCCGAGCCCCGAAGCCCGGGGCGCGGGAAGCGCCACGTTCAGGGGCTGGAGGCGGGTTCGCCGCTGCAGCCCGCGGGCAGAAGCGTAGCCTTTGGCGCCGCGTGCGGGGCCCTGCGCCAGACAAAGAGCCCCATCCGGGAGGGGTCAAAGGAGAGCGCAGTGGACTCAGCACCAGCGAAGGGTGGGCGCTGAGCCAATGCTGGGCTTTGTCGCCGCGTCCTCGCGGGCGGTGTCGCATATTGATTTAGTAGTAAGAAGCGGCTATTGCTATCATCCGCTGCTCGTTGGCAGCGTGACCCGAATATGTGCGAAGGGACCACCGTTTTGTGTCTGGGGGCCGGTCAGATCCTTGGCAACGACTTTCCGGTTTTGCCCTGGCCGCCAGGGTTTTGGTGCTGCGGAAGAATAAGTCCCCCGCGGCTCAGCACAGGGGTCTCGCGTCCACTCCCACCACCCCCTCCTGGGTCCGTTTTCGTTTACTGCAAATAGCCACAGGGCTTGACGCCCGCAGGGCCCTCCGCCAGGTCGCGGCTTGGAAAGCCACTTGCGGCCAGGGCGCGGAAGGAGTTCCGTGGTCGCCCTGGCCCGCGTGTGCGCGCTCGGGGCTGTCCCGGCGGCGCGGCGCGTGCATCCCCGCGAAAGGCGCGGCGGCCCGGCGTGCGCGGGGCTTTCTCTCATCCCGCTTCTCCGGACGGGTCCGCACCGTGGGACGAATCGCGCGCCGCTGCCCGGCCGGCGACCAGCCAGAACGGAGCCCGGCACCAGCACCGGCACCGGGAGAGCCCTGAAGACCTCGGCGCTGCTGGCCGAACCCCACTTCCTCAGAGGAAACACGGAGCGTGTCCGCTCCAAGAGCCCGGCCGCGGGGAGGACCCTCCCGGGTAGGGTTTGGGCCCCCGTGGGCTCCCCAAGGCGACCGCGCCAGGGGCCACGGCTTGGGCTCCGAGGCGGGCGCGGGAGCCGCGGGCTTGGGGGCGGGGCCGAGTGCGGGGCGGGGCCGTCTTCCCGCCTCCGGGCTCCCCACTCCGCGCGACCCCGCAGACCTCGGGCTGCGGTGGCCCGTGAGTTCTCTGGGGAGCGCCGCGAGGGGAGCGGGGCCCCCCGAATACAGACAGCAGAGACGCACCCGGGCGGGACGGCACGTGCGCGCTGTTCTCCCGCGCAGCCCCCGCGGCCGGATGCGGAGGCGGGAGGAGTGCCCGTCTCCGGGTGCAGCGCTTGGGCTCCTCCCGCGCCCCTGCGGGGTCCTCGTTAGCCCTGATTTATGGCTGAGGAACGGAGACCCTGAGGCAGTGCGCTGCGCCCCAGAGACTCCGCGTCTGTCTACGCTGCCGAGCTGCGGGCAGAAACAATGGGGCACCGAGTGGGGCTGCAGCCTCACTGGTCTTAGAGTACGCAGCTCTCCAG